CGGAGCCCTCTGCCCCCGGGCGCCTTGGGGATCCTGGCCCGAGTGCAGAGCGCGGCCAGTCTGGAGGGCACCCGAGGGCGCATCCGTGTCCGTGTAGGTGTGAGCTTCGCGTGGACGCGAGCCCGTGCGCGTGCCCGGCTGCAGGTGCTTGCGCGTGTGTGCGGGCATCACACGAACCCGGTGGTGCGCGTGCGTGCGTTCTGGCTCTCGGTACATGTATGTTCACGTGCCTGTGTAGGTACATGTGGCTGCGTGTGCCTTCAGGTGGTGTGCGCCTGCGCGGGCACTCTCCCCGGTCTGGCTCCGGGGGCGCACAGCCCCCTCCGCTGGCGCCCGGGGTCGGGCGGAGCCGGGCGGAGGCGCTGTCCGCGGTGCTGACGGCCGCGGATGCGGAGGGGCTGGTAGCCCAGACTGCAGAGGCCTGGCCTGGCGCTGCCCTCGGGACGGGGACGGGGATGGGGACACGGGCGGCGGGCGGTGAGCGAAGGGGACCACGCAGAGATGGGGACGGGCTGGGACTGGGACGGGGACGAGGACAGGACGGGCACACGGGCAGCGAGCAGAGAGGACCGTGCAGGGACGAGGAAGGATGGGTTGGGTTGGGCGGGGACGCAGGCGGTGAGAAAAGACGACCACGCGGAGACGGGGGTGGGATAGGGCCTCCGGCCGCCAGCGAAGAGGACCACGCAGGGACAGGGATGGGACGGGGCCGCGGGCGGTGAGAAAAGACGTCCACGCAGGTATGGGATGGTGCAGGTATGGGATGGTACAGGTCGGGGACAGGGATGCAGGCCGCCAGCGAAGAGGACCACGCAGAGATGGGGACGGGCGGCGGGCTGAGCGAAGAGGACCCTGTGGAGCTGGGCCAGGCGGGACTGGGCGGGGATGGGAGGTTGCTGGCTCTCAGCCCTCACCCAGTCACCCAGGCCTTAACCCGCACACTCCGTTCGAGTACATGATCCTGGCCACCATCATTGCCAACTGCATCGTGCTGGCCCTGGAGCAGCACCTCCCTGACGGCGACAAAACACCCATGTCTGAGCGGCTGGTGAGTTCCCACCGCCGAGGACTGGCAGTGGCTCCTGGGAGCCCCTGAGCCTCCTCGAGCTGGGCAGGCGGTGCTCAGTCAGTTCAGGGAGAGGGTGGAAGCTGGGTGGCCAGGACAGTGGGGTGGCTAGACAGCCCTGACAGGACGCCACTGCCGCCGCAGACCACCCTGTGCTGAGCTGGCCAGTCTGGTATGCTTTCCAGGCTGCAGGCACCAAGACCCCGAGTTCCAAACCTGGGCAGGGGCAGGCGTGGGCTGGCTGGTGCCTGTTCTCCCTGTACTACGTCCGGGGATTCAGGGACTGTGGACCTCCAGAGTGGCCTTGTGTGGCCTGAGTGGAGCCCTTCCCCATGGGAAGTGGCTTTCTAAACTGCCATCACTCGCCGCTAGTTTTGTGGCAAAGTGCTCCAGGCCCCCACACACCCCACGTTGAAGCTCAGGGCCCTCGAGGGTCAGGGTGCCAGGGCAGGGTCTTTGCAGGAGGCAGGGGAAGAAGTCAGCCCTGCAGGGTCCCCAAAGGGGCTGGGGCAGAGGGAAGGAGATGGGCACTATTTCAGAGGTGAAGGCGTGACCCCTGGCCCCTTGCCTAGGCTTGATGGGGGCAATACTGGAGCCTGAGAGTGGAGAGAGGAGAGGCCAGTTGGGGGCAGGGCTCGGCCTGAGGTCCCGACCAGTGGGCACCCTTGGGCCATTGGAACTGCCCCCTCCTCCCTGCTCCCACACCTCGGCTGGACTTAAGGTCCATGAGACAGGCCTGGCTGGTGCCCCCAGGGGCCTAATGTGCCCCTGGCACATTTAACCTGAAGTCACCTGCTGCGGAGGGCAGCGGGGTTGGGCCACCACAGCTCGTGACTGGGTGGAGCACACAAGTGGGTGGCAGGGGACGGGGCTCCTGGAACACGTGAGAAAGGTCAAGTGGATCCAGTGTGCCCTCGGGGACCCAGGCCCAGAGCCCGGCAGGACAGCGAGAGGGATCTGAAGGTTCAGGCAGAGACACGGATGCCAGGCCACAGGGCACGGCCCCATCTCCAAGGACGTCTCACCGAGGTCGGGCAGAGGGAGCCAGGCCAGAGGCCAGGCCTGGGCTGGGGCAGCGAGGCTCTGAGCCTGTGCCCTTGGGCAGGCATGATGGGGCACGGGTGAGCCTGGTGTCCACGGGGAGGTGCGGGAGGGTGTTGGGGTTGCACTTCTAGGGGATGGGGCTAAGCTGTCTGGAGAACAAGCAGAACGCACCTGCGCTTGGGCCAAGCTCTCTGCCACCCCAGGCCCAAGTACGGGCCAGTGCTGCTGCCCAGGGAGTAGGCTGGCCATGTTGCCGTCTGCCAGCTGACCCTGGGCAGGGCCTCCCTAGAGCCCGCACCCACCCTTAACTTCTGGGGCTGCCTCTTGCCATGCCCTGGCATGCCATCTGGCGCCCCCCTGGTCTGGCTGCTTCCGTACTCACCTCTCCCACCTCTCGTCCAGCTGTACCAGGCCAGAGCAAGGGGAGGGCTGGGTGCAGAGCTGTGGGGACAGAACAGGCAGAGGTGCCGCCTGGAGTCTTTCTACCGAGCGTTCTGGGAAGGCATTTATGGAGGTGCAGCTGCCTCTCCCCTAAGAGTAGGGACTCTCAGGAGAATGTGGCCTAGGCTCAGGTCCGGCAGAGCAGTGCACACCTCCAGGCCCATTCTCATAGTCAGGGTCAGAGCCGCAGCCCCTCGGTGCTGTGCTGCCAGCCCGTGACAGCTGGCTCCCTGAGTGTGGTGGCCTTGGGCCCAAACTTCCTGGAGGCCCAGGCTATCTCGCAGTAGAGCCGTCAGAAGGCAGCTCTGTGGGGCTTGTCTCTGAGGGCACAGCCTCAGAGGCCCTTGAAGCCGGCCTCTACCCCACGCAGGGCGCAAGGCAGCGCCCCGAGTGCAGGCATCTCCCCTGCTGCTGTCAGCCCCTGCCCACTGCCCAGGCTCACCGACCCCGCCTGCTGTCGCCAGGCAGAGCTTCACCAGACCTGGGCTCCGCCTGCTAGGCCACAGCACTGCCTTGGTGGGTGTCGATGGAGATACCGGGTGGAGACACGTCCTGGGCCTTCCGTGGCTCCTTCAGTCACGTGGCCCTCCACCGACCCGTCCCAGGCCCGCCCCCGAGCCCGGCTGCCCGGGGCCAA